TCAGGCATAAAAAATAATCCAGCTGGATAATTTTAATAATATATCATAACGAAACTTCGTGATATATAATTTTTTGTTTTATTTTAGTCTTTTTCTATCTACGTGACTTTACCAAAAGAACCAAAGAGAATAGCAATTGTAATCATTTTCGTGGATTGAATAGAACGAATCACCTTGGTTGTTTTGATGCACCCATATCAACACGAGTGTGTTTAAATATACTGAAAAAACAAGGTCAGACGGTAGAAACTTCCACCTCTTAGACCAAATCACCATTTTAATACTGGCAGTAGTTTGCAGAACATTGCAGGTTGAATATTAAAAAATCTATCTTTATTTGAAGCTGTCGTGACTGCAGGAATCAATACTCTTTGGTTCATTCGGTAAAGTTACGTAGGTACAAAATGACACAAATCACGACGTTTCGGGCGCAACACAAGCGTCCATCATCAGGTGGGAAAGCGTGGTCTGCTGCTGAGGCAGACTGTTTTAAAAGGTTCGAAATGGGTGTAGCTCAAGGGTCATAAAGAAGTGGCCGAAGATAGTGATGTTAATGTGAGAAATTAGCAAGTAAATGTAAGTTAGGTGAGCGGCCTCCTGAACGAGGGATTAGCATGATGTTGATGTGATAGATTAGCATGATGTTGATGTGAGAGATTAGCATGATGTTGATGTGATAGATTAGCATGATGTTGATGTGATAGATTAGCATGATGTTGATGTGATAGATTAGCATGATGTTGATATGAGAGATTAGCATGATGTTGATATGAGAGATTAGCATGATGTTGATGTGATAGATTAGCATGATGTTGATGTGAGAGATTAGCATGATGTTGATGTGATAGATTAGCATGTTGGTGATGTGATAGATTAGCATGATGTTGATGTGATAGATTAGCATGATGTTGATGTGAGGGATTAGCATGATGTTGATGTGAGAGATTAGCATGATGTTGATATGAGAGATTAGCATGATGTTGATGTGATAGATTAGCATGATGTTGATGTGATAGATTAGCATGATGTTGATGTGAGGGATTAGCATGATGTTGATGTGAGAGATTAGCATGATGTTGATGTGAGGGATTAGCATGATGTTGATGTGATAGATTAGCATGATGTTGATGTGATAGATTAGCATGATGTTGATGTGAGGGATTAGCATGATGTTGATGTGAGAGATTAGCATGATGTTGATGTGATAGATTAGCATGATGTTGATGTGAGAGATTAGCATGATGTTGATGTGATAGATTAGCATGATGTTGATGTGATAGATTAGCATGATGTTGATGTGAGAGATTAGCATGATGTTGATGTGATAGATTAGCATGATGTTGATGTGAGAGATTAGCATGATGTTGATATGAGAGATTAGCATGATGTTGATATGAGAGATTAGCATGATGTTGATGTGATAGATTAGCATGATGTTGATGTGAGAGATTAGCATGATGTTGATGTGATAGATTAGCATGATGTTGATGTGAGAGATTAGCATGATGTTGATATGAGAGATTAGCATGATGTTGATGTGAGAGATTAGCATGATGTTGATGTGAGAGATTAGTATGATGTTGATGTGAGAGATTAGCATGATGTTGATGTGAGAGATTAGCATGATGTTGATGTGAGAGATTAGCATGATGTTGATATGAGAGATTAGCATGATGTTGATATGAGAGATTAGCATGATGTTGATGTGAGAGATTAGCATGATGTTGATGTGATAGATTAGCATGATGTTGATGTGAGAGATTAGCATGATGTTGATGTGATAGATTAGCATGATGTTGATGTGAGAGATTAGCATGATGTTGATGTGATAGATTAGCATGATGTTGATGTGATAGATTAGCATGATGTTGATGTGAGAGATTAGCATGATGTTGATGTGAGAGATTAGCATGATGTTGATGTGAGAGATTAGCATGATGTTGATGTGAGGGATTAGCATGATGTTGATGTGATAGATTAGCATGATGTTGATATGAGAGATTAGCATGATGTTGATGTGATAGATTAGCATGATGTTGATGTGAGGGATTAGCATGATGTTGATGTGATAGATTAGCATGATGTTGATGTGAGGGATTAGCATGATGTTGATGTGAGAGATTAGCATGATGTTGATGTGAGGGATTAGCATGATGTTGATGTGAGGGATTAGCATGATGTTGATGTGAGAGATTAGCATGATGTTGATGTGATAGATTAGCATGATGTTGATGTGAGGGATTAGCATGATGTTGATGTGAGGGATTAGCATGATGTTGATGTGAGGGATTAGCATGATGTTGATGTGAGGGATTAACATGATGTTGATGTGAGAGATTAGCATGATGTTGATGTGATAGATTAGCATGATGTTGATGTGAGAGATTAGCATGATGTTGATGTGATAGATTAGCATGATGTTGATGTGAGAGATTAGCATGATGTTGATATGAGAGATTAGCATGATGTTGATGTGAGAGATTAGCATGATGTTGATGTGAGAGATTAGTATGATGTTGATGTGAGAGATTAGCATGATGTTGATGTGAGAGATTAGCATGATGTTGATGTGAGAGATTAGCATGATGTTGATATGAGAGATTAGCATGATGTTGATATGAGAGATTAGCATGATGTTGATGTGAGAGATTAGCATGATGTTGATGTGATAGATTAGCATGATGTTGATGTGAGAGATTAGCATGATGTTGATGTGATAGATTAGCATGATGTTGATGTGAGAGATTAGCATGATGTTGATGTGATAGATTAGCATGATGTTGATGTGATAGATTAGCATGATGTTGATGTGAGAGATTAGCATGATGTTGATGTGAGAGATTAGCATGATGTTGATGTGAGAGATTAGCATGATGTTGATGTGATAGATTAGCATGATGTTGATATGAGAGATTAGCATGATGTTGATGTGATAGATTAGCATGATGTTGATGTGAGGGATTAGCATGATGTTGATGTGATAGATTAGCATGATGTTGATGTGAGGGATTAGCATGATGTTGATGTGAGAGATTAGCATGATGTTGATGTGAGGGATTAGCATGATGTTGATGTGAGGGATTAGCATGATGTTGATGTGAGAGATTAGCATGATGTTGATGTGATAGATTAGCATGATGTTGATGTGAGGGATTAGCATGATGTTGATGTGAGGGATTAGCATGATGTTGATGTGAGGGATTAGCATGATGTTGATGTGAGGGATTAACATGATGTTGATGTGAGAGATTAGCATGATGTTGATGTGAGGGATTAGCATGATGTTGATGTGAGGGATTAGCATGATGTTGATGTGAGAGATTAGCATGATGTTGATGTGATAGATTAGCATGATGTTGATGTGAGAGATTAGCATGATGTTGATGTGATAGATTAGCATGATTTTGATGTGAGAGATTAGCATGATGTTGATGTGAGGGATTAGCATGATGTTGATGTGAGAGATTAGCATGATGTTGATGTGATAGATTAGCATGATGTTGATGTGAGGGATTAGCATGATGTTGATGTGAGGGATTAGCACGTGAGCATGAGAGATCTAAGAGAGAGGCATAGAGAGACGCAGAGAGTCGAAATAACAGCTGACATAGGCAGGTTGGATGGAAACATCACAGTCAGTTAAGACTTTTCCTGGTTAATAACGTCCTTCCAACGATTGCTCAGTTTGTACCCATCCTCTCGGTTAATACCGCGTTTTTTAAATCTTTGGTTCTTTCGGTAAAGTCACGTATAAAGAGGAAATAATGAATAAAATACTAGCATACGACGTTTCGATTGCAACACGAGCAATCATCGCCGGGTGTAAATGAAAGAGAAAACAAAACTGGTATACTTAGAAATACAATGCAATACAACACGGAGAGTCGGCTAACACAACAGTCAACACCCTACCTGGTTGATGACGCTCTTGCAGAGAATGCTAAATCTGAAGTGAAGTGTGAAATGTGAAAGTCACAGACGCGAAGACGCGCGGAGTGAACCGTGACGGACTGACAGCCACGGGATGGCTGAGACAGCCTCGACGTTTGTATTCGCAGTGCGGCGTTGTATGACGTCACGTGCCGCGCTCGTCTTGTTTCAAATTACAAATGACGTCACGGGGTACATGACGTCATCGGCGAATGAGTGACGTCACGCGACGCGGGGGTGGGGGGGGGACAAAAAGGGCGGGAAATTCGCAGCCGCAATGGCGGCGCACGGAGGGGAGAGGGAGCCCTGAGGAGACGGCGGTGAGAGCGACTCCCTCGCCTCCGTCAGCGCGATCAGTCCACCGCCTCACGACCCCTCTCTGTCTGCCTCTCTCTCTCTCTCTGCGTGCGAGTCTGTGTAAGGGTTCACGACCTGTATCCCACCTGGAGGAATCCGATGAGCCGTGAAGCTCTTTGTCGCACCCCCAGTGACCCGTTCTTCCGCTGCGGTGGTGGCCGCCTACCCAGCAGCCCGCTCCAGCCGCAGTGGCCGAGTCTCTGCTCGCCGCAGGCAGGGACAGCAACTTGGCGAGCAGCTGCGGTTGGCTTCGTCCCCCTCCTCCTCCTGCTGCTGCTGCTGAGGGGAAACACGTTCACGACTCGTCTCCTTGGTTCTTTCGGTAAAGTCACGTAGAAGGGATGTAATAAAATAATAAAAATAAAACATAATAAAATATTATATTATTTTATTATGTTTTGTTTTTATTAATAATTAAAATAAAACATAATAAAATATTATATTATTTTATTATGTTTTGTTTTTATTAATAATAAAAATAAAACATAATAAAATAATATTTTATGATGTTTTGTTTTTATTAATAATAAAAATAAAACAGAATATTATATTATTTTATTATGTTTTGTTTTTATTATTTTATTACATCCCTTCTACGTGACTTTACTGAAAGAACCAAGAAGATGAATCCCTGCAGTCACGAAAGCTTTAAATCGAAGTTCACGACTGCCGCTGCTGCCGCTGCTGCTGCTGCGATGGCTGCTGTGGGAACGCGGCGCTCCAAACCTCCTCCCCAGAGACGCGGACGGCTGCTGAGCAGGAGACGAACTCTGCCCTCCGTGGCCCCGCGGTCGCAGTCAACTTTCGCCTTGAACGCAATCGGTGGGAGTGTGTGGGCAGAGCCGTCAACCCCTGAGCAGCGCCCCACCTCATCGCGGGCCCGTTGGGACCCACAAAGTCCCAGCAGATGGGAGGAACACTAACACATATTATAACTAGTACAACTACTACTGTTACTACCACACTAGTATAACTAGTACAACTACTACTGTTACTACCACACCGTAGTGTTATAAGTAGTGTAACTACTACTGTTACTACCATACCGTAGTAGTATTATAACTAGTATAACTACTACTGTTACTACCACACCATAGTGTTATAAGTAGTGTAACTACTACTGTTACTACCATACCGTAGTAGTATTATAACTAGTATAACTACTACTGTTACTACCACACTAGTAGTATTATAACTAGTATAACTACTACTGTTACTACCATACCGTAGTGTTATAACTAGTACAACTACTACTGTTACTACCACTGTAGTGTTATAACTAGTACAACTACTACTGTTACTACCACACTAGTATAACTAGTATAACTACTACTGTTACTACCACATCGTAGTGTTATAACTAGTATAACTAATACTGTTACTACCACATTGTAGTGTTATAACTAGTACAACTACTACTGTTACTACCACACTAGTATAACTAGTACAACTACTACTGTTACTACCACATTGGTATAACTAGTATAACTACTACTGTTACTACCACACCGTAGTGTTATAACTAGTACAACTACTACTGTTACTACCACATTAGTATAACTAGTACAACTACTACTGTTACTACCACATCGTAGTGTTATAACTAGTATAACTAATACTGTTACTACCACACTGTAGTGTTATAACTAGTACAACTACTACTGTTACTACCACACCATAGTGTTATTATAACTACTATAACTACTGTTACTACCACACGAGTAGTATTATAACTAGTATAACTACCACTATTACTACCACACCATAGTGTTATTATACCTAGTATAACTACTACTGTTACTACCACATCGTAGTGTTATAACTAGTATAACTACTACTGTTACTACCACACTAGTGTTATTATAACTAGTATAACTACTACTGTTACTACCATACCGTAGTAGTATTATAACTAGTATAACTACTACTGTTACTACCACACTAGTAGTATTATAACTAGTATAACTACTACTGTTATTACCATACCGTAGTAGTATTATAACTAGTATAACTACTACTGTTACTACCACACTAGTAGTATTATAACTAGTATAACTACTGCTGTTACTACCACACCGTAGTGTTATTACAACTAGTATAACTACTGTTACTACCACACCGTAGTGTTATTACAACTAGTATAACTACTATTACTACCACACCGTAGTGTTATTACAACTAGTATAACTACCACTATTACTACCACACCGTAGTGTTATTATAACTAGTATAACTACTACTGTTACTACCACATCGTAGTGTTATAACTAGTATATCTACTACTGTTACTACCAGACCGTAGTGTTATTATAACTAGTATAGCTACTGTTAGTACCACACTGTAGTGTTATAACTAGTATAACTACTATTGTTACTACCACATCGTAGTGTTATAACTAGTATACCTACTACTGTTACCACCACACCGTAGTGTTATAACTAGTATAACTACTGTTACTACCACACTGTAGTATTATTATAACTAGTATAACTACTACTGTTACTACCACACTAGTATTATAACTAGTATAACTACTACTGTTACTACCACACTAGTGTTATAACTAGTATAACTACTACTGTTACTACCACACTAGTGTTATAACTAGTATAACTACTGCTGTTACTGCCATACCGTAGTATTATAACTAGTATAACTACTGCTGTTACTAACACCGCAGTGCTATTATTACTACTGTTAGTACAGCACTACCGTTTAGCCGCATCACACGTGTACACTCACGTATATACTCGTACACACGTGTACGCTCAACAACAACAGCCGCCATACCCCACTAAGTGGCGGTGACGTCACCAAGGTGCCAGGCTAGGTGCACTTGAGGCCACGTGAAGTGTCGAAGGTTCACTGACACGAGGTCACGGGACATACCCAGATGCCATGGGTTGACTGAGATGCCTGGTGGATGCACCAGCTGTGTCCTTTACTGAGCCAACTTGCTGCATTTTAGCCACCCAACACTTCGTTCATTGTTGTGAGCGCCGCTCCTCTGCCCTGAGTTGTTTTTGGAGTGCGACTGCCTCCAACTGCCCAGTAGCGTCTTTGACAAGCCTCCTCCATAGAGGTCGATCTTGACACCGCTGGTACCGATCTTCAGCAAGTCCACTCAGCTCCACATCCGTACTGCATCAGTCCATCTCTACTCCAGCCCGCTTCTTGCACCTTTTAACCTCTCTTACTGGACAAACAGAAACAGCTTGGGCATGAGGTGGTTTGGCATGAGGGCTACATGACCTAGTGAATGCAGCGTTGCCTGCTGGAGGAGCTCATTGATGGGACTGTCGCGGTCTTTCACGGATTTGTGAGCTCCTCACACAATCCATCCTGGTTAAACCAAGGATGGATCGTAAGCAGGCCAGCCTAAATCTCACCAGCGCCACTAAGTGGCGGTGACGTCACCACGACGCTTGTGCCAGGCTATGTGCACCTTGAGGCCACACACACGTGCACACTCGCACACATGTACACACGGAAAGACAAAGGTCTTGTAGCCTACACAGAATATTAGGTCAAGTGCGCACCTATCAAGGAGGGCACTGAACACAAGGGAGGTGGTGTGACCAGCGCCATGGCCGGCTGCCTTCGTCTCCCCCGTGCTGACGTTCACTACACGCCACACCAGGTTCTCGTATTCATCTGAATCTAAGTTGGTAAATTTGTAAATGCCCAACTATTATAAGCCAGGTGGTCACGAGAAGCGCACAGGGAGATGGTAATCGGTTCTGATGTTTGCTGTCGCCATTCTTAACCGCGAGTTTGACTCCAACTTGGCTCGCCGGGTCAGTAGCGAGGTGCGCTATCCGCTACGTGATGCCGCATCAGTTTCTGTAACAGTTGCCGCTACTGCTTGTACCCGTCGCCCTCATCATCGTCCTCCCCGCCGTCGTTGTTACCGTGCAGAGACCCGGCATCCCGTCTGGCGGCCGCCCACAGCGGACGTCCCCTTACTTCCAGACCCTCGCCGTGGCCGACTCGCAGCGCCAGCGCCCCGAGCCGGCCTCCCTGAGCTCGCAGGAGGATCTCGAGCTTATTACAGTTGGCCAACTCGGAATTGGAGCTGGGGCAAACGTCTCCAAGTCAGCAGCCTCTCACCACCGGTGTGACGGTTCAGAACTGGTTTTTACTGCATTGCACACAATACCCGCTTGACCACTTGATGTCCGATCACGGCCACGATGCACCACTCCGCTACTGCTTATGCAATCATCTGGCTCGACCACCTCTATCCAATCAGAGCAGTCTACATCGGCCGCTTGAACTGCCACCCATGTGCCCACCTCTTCCTGCCTGTCGATTGCCTTCAACCCTTATGGCTTTGAATACACCACACAATTTCATTGGCTCTGAGAGAGTAAGCAGGCCTGGGCTTTGTGCTTAGATGGGAGACTCCCTGGGAATACCGAGTGTTGTGGGCTTAGGCCACAAGGTGACTAGTCGAAGGCGTGCATCGATGGATTCTTGATTCCATCTATCCTTGTCATTGAGGTGCATCCTCGTCGTATTCATGACGTTCTACTTGGTACCGTTTACTCCCACATGCACCACTCAATGCAATTGGCCAAACATTCCAATGTAGCAGGAGCCTCCTGATAATGTCTTGAGACTCAGTAAGGCTCTCCTGCTTGGTTTACACCACGCGAACGACTGCGGCTGTTGATCGCGCAGCTCCCACCGCGACGATCCCCTCCACGCTGTCCGTGGCTCCCCCTCTCACCGCAGCCTTGCCCAACCGCAAGGTGAGCTGTGCGACTGCTGCCAGTAGTTGGTCAGCCATCCCATCACCTCGCTCCACCCCTCCATGATTTGTAGCTGCTGTCGGTCGCCCCCCCCCCCCCCCCCCCCCCTCGTTGCCACGCAGCTTCCTCTTCACCTACGGGGTTGTTGACCGGGACCCCGCCTCCCGGGGCTGACTGAAGGCGGGTCTCCCCCTCGTCCTCTCCTTCGTCAAAGGTCGTCTCAGGTGGGTTCTTCCCTCGGTTATACCGTGACATGATGGTACCCCACTTCTGACACCAGTTGTAATGACCCCAGGAGACACGTTTCTTGTCGGTGATCTTCATTGAAGGCACGAACACTTGACAGGCGAAGACCCCGAGTTCAGCAGCCTCTCGTTTTCAACATGTTTTATCCTATGCGTGGCCATCCCTTAAACCGTGACCACGCCCCCTCTCTAGAACCTTCTCGATGGCTCTTGGTCCCTGATCCACACCTGCTCCCTTCTGTCACTTGGCCACAGCCTTATTCTCGATCCTTCTCGTAGACCGCAGATCGTTCACCCTGTTCATTAACCTGTCATTACACCCTGTGACCGCTAGTCTCCTGTACTGTCTTTACACATGCATCCATCCACCCAATCACAAAAAAACTAACTTACCAACTCAATCATCCACTCACTGATCTATTCACTCACGCACCAACTCACTCAGAAAAATCACTGACCAACCCACTCATTCAATTTCTCACCTACTCACCCATTCATGCACAGATGTACCCACTCACCCACTCCCTCACCCACTCATACTCACGCAGCCACTCGCTCAACCACTCACTCACACTCTCTCATCCACCCATCATCACTCATTCACCCATTTATCTACTCAATAATTAACTCACAGACTCACTCACTCACAAACGCACGCAAAAAAAACCAACACGCACACGCACACGAACACGTAAACACACATACAAAAACAAAGACCCCCCGTATAGCCTTAACAGATTGTTGGGGGCAAGTGCTGTTCATGAGCACCTACAGTATGAATACCAGCACAAAACACGAGAGGGTGGGTGGCCAGCACCACGCACGGCCGCCTTGGTCTCACTAGTGGCCATGTTTTCATACCATTCTAGGTACTCATTTGAGACTACACTACACACTCACTCGCACAAACTCACACACACACACTCTCACAAACTCTCGCAAACTTTCTCACACTCAATGACTCATTCAAATTTACACAAGCTCACTCTCACAAACTCACACACAAAGACATACATTCCGTGTATGGGATTTACCGTATAGCCTGAAGAAACTGTATGGGTAAGTGCTGTTAGAAATCACCTAGGGTTCAGTGTTACTCACTGACGCTCCCGTAGAGTCCAGTGTTCCTCACTGACACTCCAATATGGTTCGGTGTTACTTACTGACGCTCCCATATAGTTCAGTGTGACTCACTGGAGCTCCCATAGGTTTCAGAATTACTCACACAAACATCCATACTCAGAGACCCATAGATTCCAACAGACATCCATAGACTCCAACACACACACACTAGACTCATACAGAGACCCATAGCCTCACACAGAGATACAGAGATCCATACATTCAAAGAGACCCAAAAACTCACACCGAAATCCATAGATTCGTACAGAGGCCAATAAGAATAAAAAAAAAAGTATTTATTTTATACTGAAGGAATCTAACGAGAAATAAAGATCTTTTTCACAGATGAACAGTCAGGCGGGTAAAAATGTAACAACAAAAATAGAATACAAAACACGACAGGAGAGGTAAACAAATTATTTACAAATATACAAATGAAACTAAACAATTTTTTTTATCTTACCACGGCTAAACCTCGAAACACCTAACCCTCTAAACCTATAACCCTCTAAACCCATAACCTTCTAAACCATAAAACTCTACCCTTAACCCTCTCATCCTCAAAACCGTAACTTTCTAAAACTCTCAATCCCTAACCTAAATCCCAAACCATCAAAACCCCAACTCTCTGAAACACCTAACCTTCTCTAAACCCGTATTACCCTAAAATACTAACCCTCTCAACATCTAACTCTTTAAACCCTCTAAACACCTAACTCTCTAATCCCCTTAATAAAGGGTTTTGGGGGTAAGTTCATGTAAATGTCAATGCGTCATTACACCCACCACCACCCGACAGCCAATTAGTACATTTTATCACGTGACCAAAAAATGCCAATTTGTTTCTACTTTAGAACACCGCTGTGTTGGAGACTAACAAAAAAAAAACCCTTTTATTACAGATAATATTAAGTGTAGGTGTTAAACCCTCTCATCCCTGGCCCTCTAACCCCTTAACCCTTGAAAATCCTCAAATCCATAACCTTCTAAATCCCTAATTCCCTAAACACCCCGAAATATCTAAACTCATAAACCAATAACCTTATAAACGACTAAACTCCTAAACCTCTAACAATCGAAATCCATAAACCCTCGACACCTCTAAACACCTAACTTTCTAAACCCCCTAACCATCTAAACCCCTCACCATCTAAAACACGAACCCTCAAAACACCTAACCCTCTAACCCTCTAAACCCCTTTACCCTTAAAACTCTAACCCTCTAAACCCCTAACCCGCTAAACCCCGAACCCTCTAAACCCCTAACTATTTCAACCCCTAACCTTCTAAACCTTTAAAAAGCAACCCTCTAAACACCTAACCATCCAAACCCCTAACCTCAAACTCTAACCTTCTAAAATGCTAAATCCCCAACCTTCTAAATCCCATCTAAACTCCAATCCTCTAAGCCAGAGGTCCCCAACCTCCGGGCCACGGACCGGTATCAGTCTGTGGCATGTTAGGAACTGGGCAGCACAGCAAGTGAGCGGTGGGCGAGCGAGCGAAGCTTCATCTGTATTTACAGCCGCTCAACGCTCGCATTACTGTCTGAGCTCCGCCTCCTGTCAGATCAGCGGCGGCATTAGCTTATCATAGGAGCGCGAACCCTACTGTAAACTGCGCATGCGAGGGATCGAGGTTGCACACTCCTTATGAGAAGTCGGAATCCGACACTTGTTTTTGTCCGCGCATGGCCCGCCCACTTCCGTCTGCGCCTCTTTCCCGCACTGCGCAGTTTTGGTAAGCTCACAAGCGAACCCTAGCCAAAATGAGTAAAAAACAAACATCGCTGCAGAGCTTCTTTGAAAAGGGAGAAAGACCCAATGGTGACCCCCCCGCCCCCCCTCCAGTCCGTGAAAAAATTGTCTTCCACGAAACCAGTCCCTGGTACCAAAAAGGTTGAGGACCGCTCCTCTTAACCACTCACCCTCTAAACCCCAAAACCACTAAAACCATAACCCTTTACAACCCTAACCCTCTTATACCATAATAAAGGTTTGTTGGGTTAGATTGTGTAAATATAAATGTGTCGTTAAACCCGCCACCATCCGACAATTAGTGAATCTTTATTTGAAGCTTTCATGACTGCAGGAATCCACACTCTTTGGTTCTTTCGGTAAAGTCACGTAGTTAGAAATAAAATAAATCACGACGTTTCGATCGCAACACAAGCGGTCGTCATCAGGCAAAGGAGTCAGCCTCTAAAGGCAAACTGTTTATAAGGGTTTGGAATGGGCCTAGCCCAAGTGTATCAACAGCACCGGGAGCATGGGTGGTGCACAAGTGCCAATGCAGCAACAATGCCAATGTCGCAACAATGCCAATGCAGCAACAATGCCAATGCAGCAACAATGCCAATGCAGCAGCAATGTGAATGTAGCAGCAATGCTAATGCAGCAACAATGCCAATGCAGTGGGTGAGAGAGCTGCCGTGGCAAGAGGTTATATAGGTAAGAAAGGGGGAGAGGAGCAAGGGGGGAGAGAGAGAGAGGGGGGGAGTAGGAAGATGGGGGTGGCGTGAGCGCTAAGGGGATAGAGGACGTGAAGCCTGTGGGGGGGGGGGGGGGGGGGGAAGTGGGCGGGGATTCAAGTGGGAGGCTGGGAACGCTGGGGATGCAGGGGGAAATTAACATGGAAAAATAGACCAGTACCCGGCAGATATGGAACAACCATAAACAATTAAGGTTTTACCTGGTTAATAACATCCTTCCAATGATTGCTAAATTTGTATCCATCTTCTCGGTTGAAGTTATGTCTATATTTATAAATCTGTATGGCTTCATGAACAAACCTTTGGTAGTAGCCCGAAGGTTTGCAGAGTACCTTGGTTTCGGAAAATAACAATATCATGCGAGCCCACAACGTGAAAACAAGGGTCAGCCACGGCAGAGGTATTGGTTCTGCCGTGTTTCATATCTCTCTTGTGTTCGCGAATACGGTCCGAGACATGTCGTTTCGTTTCCTCAATGTAGCTGCTACCGCAGGTACAAGTCAGTTTGTAGACTCCAGATGGGATTAGATCATGGATTAAGAAGGTACTCCACTTCGGCCAATCGTTTCCACTATCAACTCACCTACCTACAAACTGGCCCGTTTTCTGTCTGATACCTTGCTTTCATTCATTGGCAAGACTACCTTAGCAGTACGTAACAGCTCACTTGGTCTCTCTAATAAAGGGCATTTCACTGTCCCCAGATTATTTACTCGTCAGCTTTGATGTAGTTTCTCTGTTGTTCAAGGTTCCTGTACCTGACACTTTAGCAATAATTGAAGATTTAGTCCAACATGGACTGAATCTTGATGTACCTACTGTGGTTAGGCACTGCCTTACCAACACTTACTTCACCTGGAATGGTACTTTCTACAAACAAAATGAAGGTACCCCCATGGGTTCTTCCTCATCACCAGTGATAGCGAATGTTTTCCTGGAGAAATTTGAAACAAATGCCATCCAGACATCCACCCTACGCCCTTCCTTGTGGAAGAGATATGTAGATGACACTTTCGTCATTTGGCCACATGGCCTGCCATCATTGAACCAATTTCTCAACCACATCAATTCCATACACCCATCCATCAAATTCACCATGGCAGTGGAGAAGGATGGTAAGCTACCATTCCTGTATGTTTTGTTTGAGAAGAGACCTGACAGCTCGTTGGGACACTGTCTATAGGAAAGCCACCCACACATATTCCTTTCTGAAACCTGATTCCCACCACCATCCGGCACAGAATAATTCCCTCATCAAAACACTACACCATAGGGCCCACTGCATTTCCGACCAACACCACCTAGCCAGTGAACTGGAACACGTACACCAGGCCCTCAAGATTAATGGGTACTCGGACCGCATTATTCGCAAAGCTGTTTCTCCAACCATGGAGAAACAACCCCCTGAGAAGCCAATCAAAACCATCACGTTACCATACATAGCAGGTGTTACCAAAAAGATTTCCAAAATCTTAAAACAAACACAAGATCCAGGTCCAATTCAATACAGTACACAAAATCCGTGATCTAATCCCATCTGGAGTTTACAAACTGATTTGTACCTGCGGTAGCAGTTACATTGGGGAAACGAAACAACATGTCTCGGACCGTGTTCATGAACACAAGGCAGATCTGAAACACGTCAGAACCAATACCTCTGCCGTGGCTGAACATTGTTATAATGCTGTGGGCTCGCATGATATTGTTTCTTCCGAGATCAAGGTACTCCTGCAAACCTTCGGGCTACTATCAAAGGTTTGTTCATGAAGCCATCCAGATATATAAACATAGATATAACTTCAACCGAGAAGATGGATACAAATTGAGCAATTATTGGAAGGATGCTATTAACCAGGTAAAACCTTAATTGTTCATGATTGTTCTATTATATCTGCCGGGTACTGGTCTATTTTTCCGAGTTATTTCCCCCCGCATCCCCAGCGTTCCCAGCCTCCCACTTGCAGCCCCACCCACTTCCTTCCCAGCTTCACGTCCTCTCTCCCCTTAGCGCTCATGCAGCACCCCTTCATCCCCGTACCCCCCCCCCTCTCTCTCTCTCCCCTTGCTCCTCTCCTCTTTCTTACTTACGTAACATATTGCCACAGCAGCTCTCTCACCCACTGCATTGGCATTGTTGCTGCATTGGCATTGTTGCTACATTGGCATTGTTACTGCATGGATATTGTTGCTGCATGAGCATTATTGCTGCATGGGCATTGTTGCTGCATTGGCACTCGTGCACCGCCCATGCTCCTGGTGCTGTTGATACACTTGGGCTACGCCCATCCCCAAACCCTTATAAACTGTCTGTGTTTAGAGGCTGACTCCTTTGCCTGATGACGACTGCTTGTGTTGCGATCAAAAGTTGTGATTTCTTTTATTTTATTTCTAATTATGTGACTTTACCAAAAAACCAAATACCAATTAGTAAAGTTTGTCACATGAACAAAAAGTGCCAATTCGTTTCTCCTTTAGCACACCGGTGTGTTGGAGACTAACCCAAAAAAACCTTTATTATGGATAATATTAGTTGTGAAAGTCTAGGTGTTAAATCCTCTACACTCCTAACCCCTAAACCTCATGAGCCTATAAATCTCTAACCCTCAAAACCTCTAAACTTCGAAAACCCAAATCTCCTAAACCCCAAACATCTAAACCCCTAAACTTATTACCTTCTAAAATCCAAACCCTCCAAACCCATAAACATATAACAATCAAAACCCATAAACTCTCTAAACTTCTTAAACACCTAACTCTCTAAACTCATAATCTTCTAAACCCTAACCCAATGAACTCCTAACCCTCTAAACCCCTCACCCTCTAAGCACCTATACCATAAAACCCTAAACCTCTGAACCCCTAAACTAAACCCCTAAAAACCCCCAAAACTCTAAAACCTATAACCTTCTAAACTTCTAACCCTCTAAACCACTAAACTTCTACATATCGAAACCCATAAAGCCTTTAAACCTTTAAACACCTAACTATCTAAATCTCTTAACCCATAATATTCTAAACCCTTACCTTCTAAAACCCTAACCCTTTGAACCCCTAACCCTTGAAGTCCCTAAACCCCTAAAACAATAGCCATCTAAACACCTAACCCTCTAAACCCCTTACCCTTTACAACCCTCCCTCTAAACCCTTAAACCCATCGTCATCTAAACCTGTCAACCCATAAACTCTTAGTCCAATAAATATCGAACCCTCTAAACTTCCAACCCTCTAAACCCATCACCCTCTAAACCCCTAAATCCCTATACCCCTAAACCCCTAACCCTCTTAAACCACTAACCCTCTGTGTGGAGTATGTTGGGTAGTGGGTATCACGCTGTGGGTGGGTGCAGGGTGTGTGTGGTGGGTGCAGGGTGTGGGTGGTGGGTGCAGGGTGTGGGTGGTGGGTGGAGGGTATCACAGGGTGGGTGGGTGCAGGGTGTGTGTGGTTGGTGCAGGGTGTGGGTGGTGGGTGGAGGGTATCACAGACTGGGTGGGTGCAAGGTGTGTGTGGTGGGTGCAGGGTGGTGGGTGTGGGTGGAGGGTATCACGGACTGGGTGGGTGCAGGTGTGGTGGGTGCAGGGTGAGTGTGGTGGGTGCAGGGTGAGTGTGGTGGGTGCAGGGTGAGTGTGGTGGGTGCAGGTGTGTGTGGTGGGTGCAGGGTGAGTGTGGTGGGTGCAGGGTGAGTGTGGTGGGTGCAGGGTGAGTGTGGTGGGTGCAGGGTGAGTGTGGTGGGGTGCAGGGTGAGTGTGGTGGGTGCAGGGTGAGTGTGGTGGGTGCAGTGGTGAGTGTGGTGGGTGCAGGGTGAGTGTGGTGGGTGCAGGGTGAGTGTGGTGGGTGCAGGGTGAGTGTGGTGGGTGCAGGGTGAGTGTGGTGGGGGCAGGGTGAGTGTGGTGGGTGCAGGGTGAGTGTGGTGGGTGCAGGGTGAGTGTGGTGGGTGCAGGGTGAGTGTGGTGGGTGCAGGGTGAGTGTGGTGGGTGCAGGGTGAGTGTGGTGGGTGCAGGGTGAGTGTGGTGGGTGCAGGGTGAGTGTGGTGGGTGCAGGGTGAGTGTGGTGGGTGCAGGGTGAGTGTGGTGGGTGCAGGGTGAGTGTGGTGGGTGCAGGGTGAGTGTGGTGGGTGCAGGGTGAGTGTGGTGGGTGCAGGGTGAGTGTGGTGGGTGCAGGGTGAGTGTGGTGGGTGCAGGGTGAGTGTGGTGGGTGCAGGTGAGTGTGGTGGGTGCAGGGTGAGTGTGTGGGTGCAGGGTGAGTGTGGTGGGTGCAGGGTGAGTGTGGTGGGTGCAGGGTGAGTGTGGTGGGTGCAGGGTGAGTGTGGTGGGTGCAGGGTGAGTGTGGTGGGTGCAGGGTGAGTGTGGTGGGTGCAGGGTGAGTGTGGTGGGTGCAGGGTGAGTGTGGTGGGTGCAGGGTGAGTGTGGTGGGTGCAGGGTGAGTTGGTGGGTGCAGGGTGAGTGTGGTGGGTGCAGGGTGAGTGTGGTGGGTGCAGGGTGAGTGTGGTGGGTGCAGGGTGAGTGTGGTGGGTGCAGGGTGAGTGTGGTGGGTGCAGGTGTGAGTGTGGTGGGTGCAATGGTGAGTGTGGTGGGGCAGGGTGAGTGTGGTGGTGGCATGGTGGTGGGTGGGTGCAGGGTGAGTGGGTGGGTGCAGGGTGACTGTGTGGGTGCAGGGTGAGTGTGGTGGGTGCAGGAGTGAGTGTGGTGGGCGCAGGGTGGTGAGTTTGGTGGGTGCAGGGTGAGTGTGGTGGGTGCAGGTGAGTTTGTGGTGGGTGCGGGGGTTGTGAGTGGGGCAGGGTGAGTGTGGTGGGTGCAGGCGTGAGTGTGGTGGGTGCAGGGGAGTGTGGTGGGTGCAGGGTGAGTGTGGTGGGTGCAGGGTGAGTGTGGTGGGTGCGGGGTATCACGGACTGGGTGGGGTGCAGGGTGTGGGTGGTGGGTGGAGGATATCACAGGGTGGGTGGGTGCAGGGTGTGGGTGGTGGGTGGAGGGTATTACAGGGTGGGTGGGTGCAGGGTGAGTGTTGTGAGTGTGGTGAGTGTGGTAAAAGTGATCAGGGTTCACACTGATCCACCACCTCCACCACCCCTACTGTGCAGTGGACCGGCCACCACAAAGCAGCACACGTCGGAGGAGTGAGCGGATGGCTCTCCCTATGCGGGCCAGGCTCCCTTGCTTCCTCTTCTCCTGCTGCACCACCAACTCCTCTACCAGAGTCTCCTCCTGTACCACCAACTCCTCCACCAGGGTCTCCTGTACCACCAACTCCTCCACCAGCGTCTCCTCAAGTACCACAAACTCCTCCACAGGGTCTCCTGTACCACCAACTCCTCCACCAAGGTCTCCTCCTGTACCACCAACTCCTCCACCAAGGTCTCCTCCTGTACCACCAACTCCTCCACCAAGGTCTCCTCAAGTACCACCAACTCCTCCACCAAGGTCTCCTCCTGTACCACCAACTCCTCCACCAGGGTCTCCTGTACCACCAACTCCTCCACCAAGGTCTCCTCCTGTACCACCAACTCCTCTACCAGAGTCTTTTGTACCACCAACTCCTCCACCAGGGTCTCCTCCTGTACCACCAACTCCTCCACCAAGGTCTCCTCAAGTACCACCAACTCCTCCACCAAGGTCTCCTCCTGTACCACCAACTCCTCTACCAGGGTCTCCTCGAGTACCACCAGCTCCTCCACGAGAGTCTCCTCCTCTTGCACCACCAGCTCCTCCACCATGGTCTCTTCCTCCACAACCTTCAACTTCTCTTTAGAGGCCTGGGCGAGCAAGGAGGATGGGCGCTGTGCCGGCTCCATTCTGTGAAGAAATGCGCACGACACCGTTCCAACTTCCTGCTTCAGGAGAGATCAGTCCCCCCCCTCCCCCCCATTGTCCATGGGTGGACTAAGTGTGTGCCGCAGAAGATTAACCCAGCTAATTAACAGTGCCGCAATAATGCAGCATACCTTTGCCCACCGTGAGTCTGGTTACGAAATGGGCATTAGTCTGGCGGTGTCTCAGTGGATGCAGGGCAACTTGGGAAAGATATTGCCGCTTCATTATCTGTCCTCACCCAAAAACCAATTATGGAAAAATAAATCCGTATATAACCGAATCTACACATTCTCTTTGGCTGGAACTCACAGCCAGAGAGGAGCTGGGATTGAGTCCCATACAGGGGCCACTTTCTCTGTGTGGAATGTGGAGTGTGTTCTACCAACCACCCTACCCTGCCTGCCCCCCCCCCCTGCATGGGTTTCCAGAATCAGAATCTTTCTTTAAACTGGATGAAGAGGAGTCTGATGAGCTATGAAGCTCTTCTTTCACAGATGTCCAGTCAAGTCACAGGGTCAGCAGGTTATAACAACAAACAAAACAAAAGGAGTCCAAAGTATACTAAAAAAATAAAGCGTATAAATACAAATGGCATAAGTAAATTAAATCCTGTCAGTTGTTCAACACTAAATGCAAGCTTGGGCAATGCAGCGAAACAGCAACAAAAACAGCCTCACAACACACCAAGATAACACAATCCTTCAATAAAATTGCACATTAAAATTTCACTTCCATTCCTCTGGGTTTGGCAACTGAACCCTCACAAACACGCGGTGCAACCAGTGTTGGATGGACATCTCCACCAGTGTTGTAAATTGAAACTCCAAATCACTCAATTGGGATCGCACAGCAGCAGCAGCAGTACATTTGTTCTGTACTGCAAAAAACTTGGCAGGACCCTCCTGAAAAAAGTATTGAGACTGAGTGAGGCTATTGCTGGCTAAATAAGCGTAGAGGTAGTAGCAATAAAGATAAATAGATATTAAACACACACAGGAGCAGAGTCGTCCCCCGGGTACGGTGTACGGGGGGTGACCACCCCGGGCCCTGCGCTTTGGGGGGCCCTGCGCTTCGATGTCACGGTGTCAGACGTAATACTTCCGTTTAACACGTAGGCTATCGCTCCGGATTGGCTCACAAGTGATGACATCACATTTATCGCTTTATTTTAGACTGAAAGAGGAGGATTCCTTTGTTATTCGTAAGCCCACACCGTGTAACTTGCCCCAGGCCCCGCACCCCCCTATAGACTGCCTTGACCACTGGACAAGCAGAGGGTGGCTTACCGTCGCTCAGCAGCTCCAGAGTGCTTCACACTGCCAGGAGCAGCAACGGTGGTGGTGGTGGCTTTGCTGGCCGTGGTGGTGCTGGTGGCCGCGGTCCGGAGCCAGTTATGAGCCAGCGCCTGCACTGGCGTCATACGACAATTCGGATCCCATCTGTTGAGAGATGCACGGGGGACACACGCGGCCACGTGGTGAGAGAGGCATGGTGAGAGCTTTGATGTTCCTTCCCTTCTCCCACGAGGTCCAGGAATGCACAGCAGCAGCGGAAGCCACAGTAGCAGTGGCAGTCCTCTGATGACCAGCAGCGGCTTGGACAGACCTCCTACTCCTCCACAGAGGGCTAACTCCACAGAGGGCCAGTGGTACCGCTTATTGGCAGGTCCACTCAGCTCCACATCTTCCTGGTGATCGGTGGAGAGCGGTCGCCGATCAATTGGAGGGGGGGAATCCTCGTGGAGAGGGGGGGGGAGTGGTGGGTGGTTCTTACCGCAAACAGGAGCTGATGAATTCGACAAACTCCGGGTCATCGCTTTTGAGCACCCTGTGAAGTGGGAAGCTCCCCGGAACCCTTTTCTTGCCTGGGCAGAACATCTTCCCCCGATGGTCTGCAGGAGCCATGCACAGCGGAAGAGACGAAGTCACCAACCACCACATCGCCCATCTACCCACTTAATGACCGATTCATCAACCCACTCATCCACCTACCCACCCATACACTCTTCCACCTCCCCAATCGCTCACTCACCTATCCACCTACCCACTCACCCACCCACTCATCTACCCACCCACCCTCTCGCTGACCCACTCACCCAACCACTCACCCATTCGCCCAATTACCCAACAACCTACTCGCCTACTCACCCACATACCCATCCACTTGCCCACACACCCATTTACCCACCCACATACCCAAGTAATGTAAAATACAAAGACGCCCCCTCCAAACAAAATAACAACAGCCTGAGGCCACTCCCTAAAACTGAATCCGGTCTGTCATTCACCCCACGCTTCAACTCACCAAAGAACTGCGTTCTGTCGGGTGCTCCATTCACCATGTACCTCGGAGGCATCCCCAGAATCTGCACATGGTTGACATGAAGACAAAGGTCACCCGTATAGCTTCGGCACACTGTCGGGACAAGTGCTGTTAGATCGAGTAGCAAAATTAGCAGCGTTTGTTGAGGGCCAGCACTGTGGCACAGAGAGACAGGAGTGGTGGCTGATTTCAGCCGCATCATCTCTACATAACAAAAAGGCTCAGTCCCTTTAACACGCACCTTTACATCATCCGCACCTAGTTTACACAACAAAGGCTCATTCCTAACAGCGTGCTTCAGCCGCACCGAACCTCACAAAAATAATATTCAGGGACTACCTTGGCTCCTCCCACCCTCAACCAGTATATATACAAGGACTGTTTCTTGGAATTTCTCTCACTTGATACAGCTATCGTGCTGTGAATGTTCCACCTGATGACGGAAGCTTGTGTTGCCTCCGAAACGTCGTGATTTTTATTTTATTTTTACTTTCATTATTTTTTTATTTTTTACCTACGTGATTACCGAAAAAACCTATGAATGTGAATCCTTGCAGTCACGAAAGCTTCAAATCTAGAATTAACCCTGGTACTTTACACACTCCACCAGGTACTCATTTGAGGCTGACTCGAACTAGAGGAGGCCCAGGACCAGTTCAGACAATCGTCACTGGTGTTGCCCATGAGCTGGAATCAAACTCAGTTTCTAGCACAGCAGGCTGACTGCTACACTACCACTCCCCCACACATACAAAACACACACGTGTACAGGCAACATACGACGGCCGTTATTCACAGATCACCAAGTGGCCACCCTCCCTCCTGCCACCCCATAGCCCACGACTCCAAGGAGAGAGAGGGGGATCACGAGCGGACAGACGCCGTGTGGGAAATACCTCTATGCAGCGCGGGAGGTGATCTTCGTGGCTGTTGGACCGGAATAATTCCCTGCCCGTCGCCAACTCAGCCACCGTGCAGCCCAGCGCCCACATATCCACTCCACATGTCAAGCTATAGCCCAGCAACAGCTCCGGAGCCAAGTATTCTAGGGTGCCACCAACATTCATAGCTGTACAAAAATCACAAGGACAACAAACATATGTGCGTGTTTACACACTGTGTCTTAAACAGCATATCGTCATGCACATAAACAGTCACATGTACAGGCACTCAGATACTCACACACAGACACACTCAGACAGACACTGACATATGGACACTCACACGGACACAGAGAGACCCATGCATAAAGACAGCCATACAGACACCCACACGCAGACACTCACACACCCAGGTGAGGTCACTCACGTTGACTTTCCACGAAAAAGCTCGTGCCAAAGTCCGTGATCCTCACGGTGCCAGTCACGGTGTCTTTGACGAGAACATTTTCCTGGAGGAGGGGTAGAATGAATTCAAACTCAGAGGTTATGCCGATATCATTCAGCCAGCAGTGGATCAATCACATACCACGACACACGCTAAACAGGGGTACTAGATGAGGCATAGCGCTGTCGACAAGCGTCAGTCAAGAGCAATATTCGCTGTTTTATGACAGCTGTCACTGGGCGGTGCCCCTTTCAAATGTGTCAAAATTAAATTTCGATTTAAAGCTTTCGTGACTGCAGGGATTCATCTTCTTGGTTCTTTCGGTAAAGTCATCACGTAGAAGGGAAGTAATAAAATAATAAAAATTAAACAATAAAACAATTCTCATGACGTTTCGGCCACAACGCAAGCAGCCGTCCTCAGGTGACCTGGTTTTCACCTCAGGACGGCTGCTTGCGTTGTCGCCGAAACCTGGTTTTCACCTGAGGACGGCTGCTTGCGTTGTGGCCGAAACGTCGTGAGAATTGTTTTATTATGTTTTATTTTTATTATTTTATTCCCTTCTACGTGACTTTACCGAACGAACCAAGAAGATGCGTCGAAAATGTAGATGTGAGTAGAGGCGTGTCCCGTTCAAAGCACTCTCAGGCACCATCAGATTAAAGGGGGGTGGCTCTATTGACAACCGATTGCCGTTGCTCCAACAGGAGAGCTGCATGGAGCTCACAGCTGGATGAGTGCCCGTTAACGAGTTACAGACAAAAAGCCACGCACAAGAGAGTGCACGGATTCCGTGACGCTTTCCACTGCACCTTTGTCTTTGGACGTTTTCAATTTGCAGATTGGAATTCGATAACGAGCAGTTGTCAGGCCAAAATGCACATTTCGCACGTTTTAAAAAAAAGTTCTGTTTGACTCCGTTTCGTGTCTCCCAGGGTTTGGGGCAACTCTGATCAACGTTGCCGGTTTTCTCTCTGGTGAGTCCCCAAGAGCGACACGACTCTACACGATAGTTTAATTCATACCAGATCACATTCACCAGAGGAGCATGGCCCTGCCTCCTTCCAGTGAGATGGGCAGAGCTAACATATCGACCCTGTGACCAACATGGCCGGTTTTCTCTGTGGAACAAGTCCCCAATAAAGATACACCTCTGCACCAAAGTGAAAGCTGAACGCTGTGTCCACTCACAGGCTTGATGTCCGCGTGGACGATTTTCCTGGAATTGATGTGGCGCAATAACTTGAGGATGCCCCTGGTGTAGGTTTTCACCATCGCCATGTCCAGCCGCCGGAGCCCCGCATTTCTAATCACTTCATGAAGGCTCTCCCTGTGAGAGAGGCAGAAGCAGCAACAAAAACACAGCATCAGTACCATCCGCTACAATGCTGCACTGATTCTGATAACGATAATCATGTTCATATTGTACGTTCATGTGCCAATATTAAGAGTTATAGTGTGGGTTGAGGTAGTCAATTTGCCCATAAACCAAATCAGTTGGCATATCTGCCCACTTGACAACTTGATTTTATTGGCTTTGTTGCCGGGTGGTCGAGGGTTATCCATTGGGAGAAGATAAAAACTCCACACAGAACAGAAGCTCGGGATTTTCGCCGAGAGGCACAAGCATCACCACTGCCATGCAGCCACCCTGCTGATTGAGTGGAGGCGTGGGTTGGTGAAAGTGGCAGGGCTAATGGAGAAAAGACAAGTGGCCTCCAATGCACCCGTGGCACATGGCAGCTCCACAGGATTACAATGCATGGGTGGTGGCGTGGGCATCTCAACATTAACAGCTTACTCTTTGGTTCTTTCGGTAAAGTCACGTATAAAGATAAAATAATAAATTAAATAATAGCATACAACGTTTCGATTGCAACACAAGCAATCATCATCAGGTATAAATGAAATGAAATAGCAACAAAAATCTAACCAGAAAACTATAGACAGACATATAAGCAGACAGATATCACCAAGATACATATGTCTGTCTAGTTTTCTGGTTCGATTTTAGTTGCTATTTCATTTATACCTGATGATGATTGCTTGTGTTGCAATCGAAACGTCGTATGCTGTTATTTAATTTATTATTTTATCTTTATACGTGGCTTTACCGAAAGAACCAAAGAGTAATTCCTGCAGTCACGAAAGCTCCAAAATTAAGAATTAACAGCTTGCTGCGGTGGCGAGATGACATCTCCCCCGCCTGGTATGGAGGAGGTCCTAGGTTTGATCCCGACCGTGATGCCTGTACATTTGGAGTTTGCATGTTCTCCCCGTGGGTACGTGGATTTTTCTGTGGGTCCACTCGTTTTCTCCTCCACATTTATAATCAAAATGCTACTTTTCGATTTAAAGCTTTTGTGACTGCAGGGATTCATCTTCTTGGTTCTTTCGGTAAAGTCACGTAGAATGGAAATAATAAAATAATAAAAATAAAACATAATAAAATAATTCTCACGACGTTTCGGCCACAACGCAAGCAGCCGTCCTCAGGTGAAGAACAGGTCTGTCGGGGAGACAGAGTCTGTCTACGTGACTTTACCGAAATAACCAGGAACAAAAATGCTACTTTGTTAAGCTTTTATTTGTGGTCTGGTCGCTTCTAAAAAATAACGAAAGTTTGTTAAGTTAGTTAACCACGTTATTGGCGGAGGGGGGGGGGGGGCATGCAGTACATACTTCAACAGCTCCATGACGATACAGTAGTGTCCTCTGAAATGAAATATGTTCAGGACTTTGATGACGTTGAAATCTTCATCACTGCCCTCGTCCTGAAGTTCCAGAGCTATCTGGAGCTCCATCTTCTGGTATGTTTCTTGCTTGGAGCTGCACAGAGGAAGTCCACAAATGAAGAGCCTACATTTTCTTTAGGGATATCCAGAGCCAAATTCTACTCACAATAAAATAATTCAATATGAATTCACCAGGTCTAACAGCACCAGGGGTTCCAGTAGCACACTCGACTATCATTGGTGAGGAGCTCCCACAGAGGGAGCAGGAGCCGACGTAGGGCACCCAATAGGATTTGGAAGTGAAGAACCATTCAAATCGGATTGGTCATTTGAGAAATCTAAATGCAAACGCATGTTAACACAACGCATTCTCACTTCAATATGCCTCTTCCATTCGGGCACACTTTTCGCATAACGCGGAATGTGCCCGTAATAACACGAACGCGCCCATTGCAACACGGAACGCTTCTCATAACGTAAAACACGCCTGTTAAAGCACGGAACCCGCCCGTTATAACACGATCTGTGAGTAGTCGACAACAAACTACTTTCTTGAGCTGCAATGATACATTACTCGCAATGATAAAGTAACGTGACGGCATACCCTCAGTTATTTGTCTCGTCATCTCAAGGTGTATGAGTGCATTGTATCTCGCCAAACATTATTATTACATTATTTATGGGGAAATTACTTTCGCTCAATACTTTTTTGCTGAACGCGGAACTTTTCAGGAATGTATCTACAGCATTAAATGAGGAATTCCCGTAATGTGCAGGTAATCTTTCAGCAATGGGATGTTTTGCCCCAATATTAGTTTACACTGTGTGTGTGTATTTTAAGCTTTAGGAAGGAAAAATCTGAGAACCCAGAAGGAACTGATGCAGAACAGGGGTAGAACATGCAAACTCCATACAGCAGAGCACCCGAATCAGGAGTCGAACCCAGGCCCCCCTTCTCGCTTTGATGTACGAGTGTCACCGCTGCATCGCACGGCTGCCCATGGCAACGGACTTAACAACAATATCGGCCTCGTGACGGTGCGGCTCTGAAGTCTTACCTCGATGGTGACACCAGGATCTTGATGGCCACCAGGATGTTCCTTTTGTGATCAAGGCACTGGATCACCTGGCCTTGACCTCCTTCTCCAATCTTCTTCAGCACCTCATAGCGATAGCGGAGGTGCTCATGCCGGAACTGCACAAAAGGTACAATCGTTTAGAGTGAATATAATTAAAATCACAAAGTTTAAGAAGCGAGAATGTATATTCTTTGGAATATGCAAATTCCTTTGTCAAGGCGCTCTTCCCCCTCCAACCCAGATTAAATATACGCTGCCAAGCCTGGTGGTGTTTCATTCAGACGCTGTCTTTCTGACAGACCTGTTCTTCACCTGAGAACGGCTGTTTGCGTTGTAGCCGAAACGTCGTGAGAATTATTTTATTATGTTTTATTTTTATTATTTTATTATTTCCCTTCTACGTGACTTTACCGACAGAACCAAGAAGATCTTTCGGTAAAGTCACGTACATAGATTGAAAGAAAATAACAAAAAACAATCACGGGTTGCCGGGTGAAAATGATCATGTTAATGACAGTTTAGTATGTTAATGGGATATTGCAGAGCCACAACCGAGGGGTCGGCACTCAAAGTGGCTGTGTTAGTGTGAAAGCGCAAGTTTGAAATGGGCAAAAAGCACAACTATCATCAGAAGGTGGTAGGATGGGAAGATCACAGCCAGTTATGACTTAAACTGGTTGATAATGTCCTTCCAATGATTACTCAGTTTGCACCCATCTTCTCGGTTTAAATTGTGTCTGTGTCGATTAAAATGGATGGCTTCATGAATGAATCTTTGTTGATAGCCAGTGGGCTTGCAAAGTACCTTCGTCTTAGAGAAATACATTTCATGTGAGCCCACCGCATTAAAACAATGATCAGCCACGGCTGAGGTATTGGTCCTACAGTGTTTCAGATTCTACCTAGTTTCGGATTTGACTTATGTTCACGAACATCAGGCAGATCTGAAACTGTCGGGTTTGCTGTCCACCACTTGCATTAATATTGGCTGCTGACATTTGGGCAATGCCCATTTCAAACCCTAATAAACAGTTTGCCTTTGGAAGCAAACCCCCCTTTTCCTGAAGTCGACCGATTTTGTTGCGATTGAAACGTTGTAGTTTTAGTTTTTTGTTATTTTCTTTGAACCTATCTACGTGACTTTACCGAAAGACCCAAAAAATATTAATTCCTGCAGTCACGAAAGCTTTAAGTCAAGATTTAAGTGAGAATGTAATTTTCTAATATATTTTCTGTAATGATTACGTTTTTTTAAATCTGTCATTGTGGAATGTTCTGATGTCTGCTGGCTCAGTCACCCTTCAAAATAGAGCTTCTTAGCTCAATGGGATTTACTCGCAATAAAAAATTCTGATTCTGAAGTACATTGGTGTGTGTGATAGCCCTGGTTGGTACTTCAGGTGCAATAACAAGAAGCCACAAACCACGCTACCGATGGGCCCTGTGACTGCCCCCACAGCTGGTGTTTTGTTGCGAGCCTCACCAGAATGTAATTTCGTTCGTAGTCGTCGTATCCATCATTGTTGAATCCCTGAGATTTGTTGAAAAGTGCAAAGTACCACACTTCCTGCATGGCTGCGAGTTCTAGCTTCTCACGGTTGGTCAAGTGAGGGCCAAAGAGAGCCAGGATTTCTGCAGACATGAGAATAACAACATCTGTGTGATCGCAAACTTGAGCAATTTGTAGGAAATATTACAGGATTGGGATGTTTTGGCCAATACCAGTTATGTCTGTATGTATGTTGAACTTCTTTTGCACCGTACGTAGGCAATGGTGCCAAATGGATACGCGGGGGAAGGAAAATTATTCTAAACATGAAAAGTTCTAAAGAAAGTAGTTTTCAATCTAGATGATTTAAAAGTGTATAGCTCCAGTGGCTTCCTAATATCGGAAGTGCATCTGAAAGCGTGTGATGTGCTGAGGCCAGAGCACACATAATCACCCCCATGCAACATGGCCACCATGATGCAGTCCCCCATGCAACATGGCTACCATTAAGTTCCGCATGCAACACTGCCAACATGAAGTCCCCCATGCAACATGGCTACCTAGATATCACCCATGCATCATGGCCGCTATGAAATCTCCAATGCATCACGGCCACTGACATCCACCATGCAACATGGCCGCTATGAAATCTCCAATGCATCACGGCCACTGTGACATCCACCATGCAACATGGCCGCTATGAAATCTCCAATGCATCACGGTCACTGTGACATCCACAATGTAACATGGCCGCTATGACATCTCCAATGCATCACGGCCACTGTGACATTCACCATGCATCATGGCCGCTATGAAATCTCCAATGCATCACGGCCACTGTGACACTGACCATGTAACATGGCCGCTATGAAATCTCCAATGCATCACGGTCACTGTGACATGCACCATGTAACATGGCCGCTATGAAATCTCCAATGCATCACGACCACTGTGACATCCACCATGCAACATGGCCACTATGAAATCTCCAATGCATCACGACCACTGTGACATCCACCATGTATCATGGCCGCTATGAAATCTCCAATGCATCACGGTCACTGTGACATCCACCATGTAACATGGCCGCTATGACATCTCCAATGCATCACGGCCACTGTGACATGCACCATGCATCATGGCCGCTATGAAATCTCCAATGCATCACGGCCACTGTGACATCCACCATGTAACATGGCCGCTATGAAATCTCCAATGCATCACGGTCACTGTGACATGCACCATGTAACATGGCCGCTATGAAATCTCCAATGCATCACGGTCACTGTGACATGCACCATGTAACATGGCCGCTATGAAATCTCCAATGCATCACGGTCACTGTGACATCCACCATGCAACATGGCCGATATGAAATCTCCAATGCATCACGGTCACTGTGACATCCACCATGCAGCATGGCCGCTATGAAATCTCCAATGCATCACGGTCACTGTGACATCCACCATGCAGCATGGCCGCTATGAAATCTCCAATGCATCACGGCCACTGTGACATCCACCATGCAACATGGCCGCTATGAAATCTCCAATGCATCACGGCCACTGTGACATCCACCATGCATCATGGCCGCTATGAAATCTCCAATGCATCACGGTCACTGTGACATCCACCATGCAACATGGCCGCTATGAAATCTCCAATGCATCACGGTCACTGTGACATCCACCATGCATCATGGCCATTGTGATGTTCCACCATTCACCATGGCCCTCTGTGACGTCCCTCATTACTGTCCTTACCTTGCGGTGATTTGCTGCAGATGGAGGCGTTGCCCTCTGAGGACAGCGCACTCCACGTGGTGCAAGATTCGCCCTTACTCCTCGCCTCTCCACCTCGGCTCATCTACACACACACAAAGACAAAGGTCCACCACGTAAACTTTAGCAAGATGTTGGGGAAAGCGCAGGAGGCGAGCACTGAGCCAGGATCTCTGAGATCCCGGGCTCCACAATCAGGAGGGTCCTGCCAAGATGTTGTGTCAGTTCTCAGCGTTGGGATATTTGGTCAATATCTGATGTCACACTTGGATTTACAATGAGACACGTGTGGCATCCTTCAAACTGATAAGAGAAGTGGGGCTGGGCCAGGACATGCCACGGCCAGGAGGAACAACGATGGCCGATGGTCAAGAAGAATAACGGAGCTGCAGCCAAGTATCGGAGCACGTTTGAGAGGACAGCTTCCAGAAAGATGGAGCGACAAAATCGGTGCTTGGTGGATTATGCCATTGCAGGATCATGAGGGGTAGCAGGAACTCAGGGAAGGAGGCCTTCATCCAGTAGTGGATAATAAAAGTACTGTAGATTATTCACGTGTAGACAGGCAGGTACACAGACAGGATCTCGGGGGAGATACTCTGATAGATGCACACACACTCAGGCAGGCAAGTAGATGTACACTCAGGTATATGGATAGGCGACAGGTAGCCTCACGCAGAGTGGAGAGCACACGTCCATCAATACTTCACCACACGAGTCGAAGAGCCACACGTACCTCCATGGTAGCAACTTGCAGAGCAGGGTGCAAAGATCTCACAGCGTCTCTCGCACAGTCCGGGTCTCTGCGTGCGGAGCAGGAGACGAAGGCGAGGATCACAAAGAGTCGAGAGGGCGTGAGGGCTCCCAGATCTCAACATGAGTCACAACGCGGGCTTACATCCTCACCATGAACCCACATTGTCAACACAGACTCACATCATCACCACTCACAACACGAAATACAAAAACAACAACAACCGACATTCGCCACTAAGTAGGGGTGATGACACCACGGCACCTGTGCCGGGCCAGGTGCACTTTTAGTCCACGTGAAGTGTCGAAGGCTGACAAGACGTCACGGGATAGACCCAGGTTCCAAAGGTTGGCTGAGATGACTGGTAGATACACCAGCTGTATCCCCAACTGTGCCAACTTGTTGAATTTTATCCGCTACTCGTTGTGAGCGTCACTCCTCTGTCCTCAGTTGTTGTTGGAAGGCGACTGCCTCCTACTGCCCGGTAGGATCCTTCACGAGCTTCCTCGTGAAGGATGCTATCCACACCACTGATACCAGTCTTCTGCAAGTCCACTCAGCTCCACATCCTCCCATACAGCATCAGTCCATATTTTGACAGCCCATGTCGTGCCCGTTTAGCCCCCTTTATGCAACCAAAATAAACTGCTTGGGTATGCGGTCTACAAGACCCAGCCAATGCAGCCTTGCCTGCCGGACGAACTTACTGGTGGGAATGTCTCCAGATCTTTCAAGCATTTGTGAGCCCCTCACACAATCCAGCCTGGTTAAACCCAGGATGGATCGTACAATCAACAACACCACCATCACCAACAATACCACCAACACCACCACCACCACCACCACCAACAAGACTATCACCACCATCAACACCATAACCAAAAACATCACCAATACCACCCCCATCAACATCACCTCCATCAACACCACTAACATCACCACAACCAACACCACCACCAAGACCACCAACACGACCACCAATAACACCACAATCAACAACACCACCGTCAACACCACGAACACCAACAATACCACCACCATCAACACCACCAACACCAACACCACCACCAAGACCACCAACACAACAACCACCAACACCACAATCAACAACACCACCATCAACACCACCATCAACATCACCAACACCACCACCAACACCACCACCAACACCATCACAAACACACCAACACGACCACCACAACCACCAACAACACCACCATCACAAACAACACCACCAAGACCACCACCAACAACACCACCAACTCCACCAATACCACCACCATCAACACCACCAATACCACCACCATCAACACCAACAACACCACCACCACTAACAACAAAGATAAAGATCCCCCTTATAGCTGCATTAGACTGTTGGGGCAAGTGCTGTTAGCCAGCAGTACCTATGAAGGGCAGAACGGCACACGAGGGGGTGGGTGGCCAGCACCACGCCCGGCCGCCTTTGTGTTTACACACACACAGACTCACACACACACAGACTCACACACACACAGACTCACACACACAGACTCACACACACACAGACTCACACTCACACAGACTCACACACACGCAGACTCACACACACGCAGACTCACACACACGCAGACTCACACACACGCAGACTCACACACACACAGACTCACACACACACAGACTCACACACACACACAGACTCACACACAGACTCACACACACACAGGCTCACACACACACAGACTCACACACACACAGACTCACACACACACAGACTCACACACACACACAGACTCACACACACACAGACTCACACACACACACAGATTCACACACACACAGACTCACACAACACTCACACACACACAGACTCACCCCACACAGACTCACACACACACAGACACACACACACACAGACTCACACACACACAGACTCACACACACACAGACTCACACACACACAGACTCACACACACACAGACTCACACACACACAGACTCACACACACACAGACTCACACCATTTCTCACCTTCGCCAGATGCTCCCCCCGACTCTCTAACGGACAAACTGCCTGAGGGAGACACGAGGGGGCGGTACCAAGTGACCACGCCCACTATGACGTCGCAGACCTAAGCTCCTCCCCCCACCGGAGCCCCTCCCCCCATGCCCAACCCCTCGCCCCGCCCCTTCACCCAGATTGTGGCTGATGGGATGAGTTACATTTAGTTGTTTGTGTCTCTGGAGGGGCGGATTTGTTGTCGTGGCAGAAATGGCCTCGACTAGAGGCCGCGATGTGGAGTGTTTGGTCTACTCTTCCACGCTGGGCGTGCCCGCACTTTACCCCGATACACATGCGGGGCGTGAGCTCACTGGGCTTGCAATGCAGAGGTGCAGGTTCGAGTCCATTTCACACTCAGCCACTCGGCCACTCACTCAGTCACTCACCCACCCACTCAGCCAGCCACTCAGCCACTCACTCACCCACTCACTCACCCACTCAGCCACTTACTCACCCACAGAGGGATACAGACCATTTATGCAGTGGTATTGTAGTATCTGCGTCAATGTTTGTGTTGTTTGGTTATGGTGGTGGTTGTAGTGGTTATGGTGGTGGTTATGGTGGTGGTTATGGTGGTAGTTATGGTGGTGGTGGTTGTGATGGTGGTGGTGGTTGTGATGATCATGGCTTTAGTTTTGGTTGTATAGGTGGTTGTAGTGGTGGTGGAGGTTACAGGTGTGGTGTAGATGGTTATGTTGGTTGTCATGGTAGTTGTGGCTCTGGTTGTGGTGCTTGTGGTGGTTTAGGTTGTGGTTATAATTGTGGTTGTGTAATTTGTGGTTATATGTGCGGCTGTGGTGTTTGGTTATATTTGTTATAATTGTGTAGGTTGTGGTTGTAGTGGTCATAGTTGTGGTGTAGGTGGTTACGATGGTTGTTATGGTAGTTGTGTTATTTTGAACTTCAATCGCACTCTACCCAGCCGACCGTGCTAATTGGAGGTATGATTATCGTTGCAGTTATTTTATGGTTTTAGTTGTGGTGGTGATTGTGGTTGGTGCAGGTGCTGGGATGAAGGATGCGTTCCGTGTCCTCTGCCCATGCGGCTCCAACAACGATTGCTCCAGCCAGCACTGCCGCCCCTGTGGTCACATGACCTTGCCTCCCAGCATACCTTGCAGTCGTCATTGATTCTGGGCCATCTTTACCTCCTGCATCTCTATAGGAGCTCTCGCTTCCTCCACACACTCTCCTCCTACCTCTGCTCGCTCTCCCCGTGTCTCCATCCCCCCTCTTCTTTCTGGATGGTCCAGGTTCAGGGGTCAGGAGTTGACTGGCTGCACTCTGACCTTTGACCTTGGCTGTCACCCGAGTGGGATTATCTAACAGCAGTCAACCCATAGTATCAGGATCTGTCCCGTGACCTCCTCCTATACCTAGCCTGGAACAGCAGTCAACCTGTGGCACCCAGATCTGTCCTGTGACCTCCTCCTGCGGCACCTAGCCTGGCACAGCAGTAAACCCATGGCACCTGGGTCTGTCCCATGACCTCCTCATCCTGCAACTAGCATGGCACGTAAGTAAACCCATGGCACCTGGTTTGTTGTGATGACATTACCGCCACGTAGTGGCGAATTGCGGCCATTGTCGTTGTGAGTTTGTGGGCTTGTGTGTGAGTAATGGTGATTGAGTGTGTGACTATCATGTCGTGTGCGTGTGAGTTGGATGGTAGGGGTGTGTTTATGAGGGTGAGTGTGTGTGGGTGTGTGAGTATCATGGTGAGTATGTGAGTGATGGTATGTGACAGTGTGAGTTTGATGGTGATTCTATCATGGTGAGTGCAAGCAATACTGTGAGCTTGACTTATTTCCCCCCCCCTCCCTTTACCCACTCTTCCTCCCTCTCCCTGCCCTCCCCTCACTCTCCCCCAACCCTCTACTTCCCTGCCTCTATCCCTCTCGGCGTGGCCGAGTGGTTACTTCTAAAGAATTATGGAACTCTTTATCCCTCTCCTTTCTCCTGTAACTACCTCGCCTGTTATACAGGAGATCGTGGGTTTGATCCCTACCCTCACATCTGCTATATATTTCGAGTTTGCATGTCTCTCTCTCCCCGTGGTCGCGTTCAGAGTGTTTGGTTTCTATAAATGTCGACGTGATGATAGGCCACTTCGTTGACCTATCATTTGTGGCATTTTCCCGTCTGAAGAAGAGCTGTGTAGCACGGTGGGCATTACCTGGAAAAATTTAAATAGTTTAGTTTCCTCTTTTCCTCCTCCCTTCCTCCCTCTCCACACCCACCCCCCCCAGCACAACAACAAGAAGCAGGAGGAGGATGGTTTGTTTCCCAAGCCGAGCACTTCCGGGTCCACCTTCATGATCCTCCCCGCCCCCACCCCCGGGGCAGAGGCCCCGGGGGTGGGGGCGGGGAGATCCCCTTGAACAGGGTTACGGTACCCCACCCACATACATACGGGGTTGCGGTGCCCCCACTACACATACGCACAGGGGTACGGTACCCCCCACTCACATGCCAGGCTATGTGCACCACACAGAGACCCAAAGACTCGCACATAGATCCATAGACTCGCATAGACCCATTGACTCACACAGAAACCAATTAACTCAAACAAAGACCCGTCGAAACACGGACAATATATTTACACAAAGACCCATAGACTCATACAGACTCATCCACTTGTGCACCCACCCACTCAACGACTCACAGGCTTACTCGCTCACCCAATCTCTCACCTACTCAGCCACTCACTCAGAAACTCACTCAAGAACTCGCTCACCCATTTACCCACCCATTTGCTCACCCACTCGTGCATCCACTCACAGAATCACTCGTAAACTCGCTCACTCACACGCTCAGAAACTGACTCACAAAAGAATTCACCCACTCACTCGTGCACTCACTCGCCCACTTACCCATGCATGCACAGATTCACCCACTTACTTACTCGTTCACAGACTCCCTCTCTGATAGACTCGCTCATAGACTCACTTGCTCACAGACTCAATCACTCACAGACTCACTTAGAAGCTCTCACCCACTAACTTATTCATAAACTCACTCAACTACCGACCCCACTTACTTAAAAACTACTTCACTTATCCGCACCCACTCGCTGACCTACTTATTCATCCACTCGCTCAGCCACTCACTGACCAACTCACTCACAGACTCAGTCGCTCACTCATCCACTCACTCCGAAACTCATTCATCCACCTACCACTCAATAATTTCATTCATTCACTCATCCACTCACTCAACCACTCACTCATTCAACAACCCACTCACTCACCCACTCACTTGGAGACTCTCTCACCCACTCACTCACCTACTCGCCCAGTCTATTAGCCACTCATTCAGAAACTCACTCACCTACTCACTCACCCACAATCGATCAATCACTCATATACTAAATCACCCACCCACACACACACTCACCCACTCTTCCACTCACTTAAGAACCCACTCCCTCAACCACCAACTTAGAATATCACTCCTCCACTCACCTACCCATTTACTCACCCACTCGCTCACCCACTCATTCAACAACTTTCTCACTCGTGGACTCACTTGCTTATCTACTCACTCATCCATTCACTCATCCACTCGCTCATCCACTCACTCACCCACTCGCTCACCCACTCGCTCACCTACTCGCTCACCCACTCGCTCACCCACTCGCTCACCCACTCACTCACAGACTGACTCAGAAACTCACTCATCCAAGCATTCACTCACTGACTCACTCACCCATTCATTTAACCATTCACTCACAGACTCACTCAGACGCACGAAGAAGCTCACTAACCCACTAACCGATTCAGAAACTCAGTCAACCACCAAATCACCTACTCAAAAACTCCTTTACTCATCCGCACTCACTCACTAACCTATCTACTCATTTACTCAATCAGCCACACTTACTCACTAACTCGCTCACTCATGCACTCAGAAAATCACTCATTCACTCACTTAGAAACTCCTACAATCACTGACCCACTCGCTCAAAAACTCACTCATCTACTCGCTCACTTTCTTATTTACTCACCCACTCCCTCACCAATTCACTCGTTTCCCCACTCATTCCTTCAGTCACTCACTCATTCAGCAACTCGGTCAATCATTATCTAATTCAATCACTCACCCATTCACTCGGAGACTCACTCGCTCACTCATCCTCCACTCACTCACCCACTAACCCACTCAGAAACTCATTCAGCTACTCACTCACCACTCATTTACCCACTCATCCACTCATTGAATAAATCACCTACTCGCCCACTTTCCTAACCACTCAATCAGAAACTCATTCACCTACTCACCCACACACTCACTCACCCACTTAAACTCGGGAGTGGGTGGTTTTAGAGTTCAGTGTTAATCATTGGGACTCCCATAGGGTTCAGTGTTGCTCACTGGGTCTCCCATAGGGTTGAGTGTTAATAAATGGGTCTCCCATAGAGTTCAGTGTTAATCATTGAGGCTCCCATCGGATTCAGTGTTAATCACTGGGTCTCCCATAGGGTTCAGTGTTAATCACTGAGGCTCCCATCGGGTTCAGTGTTAATCACTGGGGCACCCATAGGGTTCATTGTTAATCACTGGGCCACCCATAGGGTTCGGTGTAATCACTGGGGCTTCCATAGAGTTCTGTGTTAATCATTGGGGCTCCCTTAGGGTTAATGTTAATAACTGGGACTTCCATAGGGTTCAGTGTTAATCACTGGGGCTCCCATGGTGTTGAGTGTTAATCACTTGGTCTCCCATAGAGTTGAGTGTTAATCACTTATAGATTCGAAGCTTTCGTGACTGCAAGGATTCATACTTTTAGTTCTTTCGGTAAAGTCACGTAGGTAAAAAATGAAATTAAAATTTTTACCTACATGACTTTACCGAAAGTACTAAGAGTATGTTAATCATTTGGTCTCCCATAGGGTTCAGTGTTAATCACTGGGGCTCCCTTGGGGTTAATGTTACTCACTCCCATAGAGTTCGTTGTTAATTATAGATTTGAAGTTTTCGTGACTGCAAGGGTCCATATTCTTTGTTTTTTTCGGTAAAGTCACGTAGGTTACAAAATAAAATAAAAATAAATTAAATCACGACGTTTCGGAGGCAACACAAGCTTCCGTCTTCAGGTGGCACCGTCACAGCAGTAATTTTGCTGACGGTGCCACTTGAAGACGGAAGCTTGTGTTGCCTCCGAAACGTCGTGATTTCGTTGTTAATCACTGGGGCTCCCATAGGATTCAATGTTACACACTGAGTCTCCCATAGGGTTCAGTGTTAATCGTTGGGTCTCCCAAAGGGTTCATTGTTAATCACAGACCCATAGATTCCTAAAAACCTAACCCTATAAACACCTAAGCCTCTATACCCCTAACCCTCGAAACTCCTATACTCCGAAAACTATAACCCTCAAATCCCCTTCACCCTTAACACCCTAACCTTTTAATCCCTTAACCCTTAAACCCCTCACCCTCTAAACCCTTCACCCATTAAACCCCTCACCCTCTAAACCCCTATGCCTCTAAATCCAACCCCCTAACCCTTTGAACCCCTAACTTTCTCCAATCCCATAATAAAGGTTTTTTTTTGCGGTAAGATCGTGTGAATATAAAGTGTCTTAAAACCCATCACCACACCGATACAGCCAATTAATAAAGTTTGTCACGTGAACAAAAAGTGCCAATTAGTTTCTACTTTAGCACATCGGTGTGTTGGAGACTAACCCAAATTAACCTTTATTATGAATAACCCCTCAACCCCATAACTCCCCCTGCGCCACCCCCCATGTCCCCCCTCACCCCCCTCACCTCCCCCAGCTGCTACTTCCGTTAAGGCCGGGGCAAGTGGAGGCGGCGCTGTGCATTGTGGGTGGCGAGAGGCTGATTTGGATTCCCTCTCACGGCCACCATTGGTGGTTCGCGAGCTTCTGAAGTGGCGGCTCGCTGGCTGGGCCTCCTCTACGTCGACTCAGCCAGAAGAATGTAAGAACCAAGCGCGGTGTGGACACATCAGCAGTGGCGCTGGTGGGGGGGAGACAAAGGAGTCACCTGGCCTACAAGGTGCCTCCTTTGTCTCCCTCCTCTCTCTCCCCGTGTCTCCCTCCTCTCTCTTCCCGTGTCTCACTCCTCTCTCTCCCCGTGACTCCATCCTCTCTCCCCGTGTCTCCCTCCTCTCTCTCCCCGTGTCTCCCTCCTCTCTCTCCCCGTGTCTCCCTCCTCTCTCTCCCCGTGTCTCCCTCCTCTCTCTCCCCGTGTCTCACTCCTCTCTCTCCCCATGTCTCACTCCTCTCTCTCCCCGTGTCTCCCTCCTCTATCTCCCCGTGTCTCCCTCCTCTCTCTCCCCGTGTTTCCCTCATCTCTCTCTCCCCGTGTCTCCCTCCTCTCTCTCTCTCTCCCCGTCTCTCCCTCCTCTCTCTCCCTCCTCTCTCTCCCCGTGTCTCCCTCCTCTCTCTCCCCATGTCTCCATGTCCCCTTCTCTCTAGGTGGTGCAGGTTCAGGAGTTTACTGGCTGCACTCCGACCTTTGGCCTTGGCTGTCGCCCAAGTGGGATTGTCGCACAGCAGTCAAACCCATAGCATCAGTATCTGTCCCATGACCTCCTCCTGCACCTAGCCTGGCACAGCAGTCAACCCATGACACCTGGCTCTGTCTCGTGACCTCCTGCACATAGCCTGGCACAGCAGTCAACCCATGGCACCTGGGTTGTTGTGATATCACCATTATGTAGTGGAAAATTACGGCTGTTGTCGTTGTGAGTTTATAGGTTTGTGTGAGTAATGGTGCGTGTGTGACTTTAATGACGTGTGTGAGAGTAGGATGGTAGGGGTGTGTGAGTGTCATGGTGAGTGTGGGTGTGTGAGTATTATGGTGAGTGTGGGTGTGTGAGTATTATGGTGAGTGTGTGGGTGTGTTAGATGGCTGGCAATGTTGGTGGGTGGTGATGATGATGCAAGCCTTGTGCTCGAGAATGGCACACTGAAACTAATATCATGTAGCTACTTCTGAGTACCCTTCAAGTGCTGTCTGGTCCACATTGTAAAGGGCAGGACTTTCCCACCTGCTCTTTATTTAAGAGCAACGTTGGTCACAACAATGTTATTACTTCTTACAGCTGGAATTTATCCTAAGTACATGGAGAACCACATTGCAGCCATGTGATAGTTGATGTTGTGCAGTGAATGATGACCGGGCTGAGACCATTAACTCGCTCGACTTGAGAATCTGCTTTGATCACAGGTGACTGCCTGGATTCAATCCCAGGTACTCCGTGGTGCCAATTCAGTGCTATGACCGCAAGGTCCATGGGCCACCTCTAAACACCCCCACGTTAAAGACATAAGCAGCAACCTGTTTAGTGAGCAGCAGCATTCTTTAAATATTTTTCCAAAGCAATTGGGATTGTGGAGCAGTGGCACAGTCCTGCATTTTCTTTCTCTTTAATCCACCAAATGCAACTTGCCGCTCGATTGTGGCGCACCCATTTTTACACTTGTTTCAACTGCTGTGGCAGATGGTGGAGCAGAGGGGCAGTGGAGCAGATTGGCAGTGGAGCAGGACAGTAAAGCAGAGCGCAGTGGAGAAGTGGGGCAATAGAGCAGAGGAGCAATGGAGCAATGAGGCAGTGGAGCAAAGGAGCAGTGGGGCATTGGAGCAGTGGATCAGTGGGGCAGATGAGGGGTGGATTTGTCGTGAAGAAGGCGAATCATCTGAATATGTGCTCTGAAGAAGAACCATTTCCCAAAACGTCTCTTTTTATCTATGTCCTTGTCCCGCCGCACACACAGCCGGGACACGGCACACACGAGCCAAGGCACATTTAACCAACCCAGGCAGCACTCGCAAGCAATGCAACATTACGTTGTGTCCTCATGAGTTGATTTCACAAAGTTTATAGTAACAACAACAACAAAAATATTGATCCTAATTCTTAACCGGGTGGCCTTAAGACTTGGCACGTGCAGGTTTTGTTCATTGTCTGCACCAGACCCCTGCAGCCGTCTCTTTCTGGGTCAGCTGCCCCTTACATGTCCTGGAAACCATGGCAAGGTCATCGCATGAGGACCGCCTGGATGAAAACCAGCATGGAAGGGGCCCAGTGTGGGGCCGGCTATGCTAATGGAATAGTCCCATGTGTGTGTGTGTGATGTGAGGTGTCCTGGAAGCAGTCATTCTCCGCTGCAGTACTGGCATCTGCTGCTCAGTTTCATCCCCCAGCTGTGGTCCCAGTGGCACCGTGGGTCGTGTGGTGATAGCAGTCACGGTTGGCGCCGATCCGCGGCCACCACCCCTACTGGGCGGTGTACCTGCCTCCACAAAGTAGCATGTGGCGGAGGAGTGAGGTGAACGCTCTCGCCATGCGAGCGAGGCCCCCTCGCTTCCTCTTCTTTTCGTGCATCTCCACCTGCACCTCCTCCATCTTCTCCTCTGTCTCATCCTCCATCCCCTCTTCTCCTCCTCCACTAGCACCATCTCTTCTTCCTCCATCTTCTCCTCACCCTCCTGCACCACCATCTCCTCCACCCTCTTCTCTTCCTCCTCCACCACCACCATTGTTTCCGCTTTGTCCATCGTCTCCATCTCCTCCACCACGACCATCTGTTCATCCTTTGTTGTCTCCTTGTCCTCCATCTCCGTATTGTCTTTATCCTCTCCCTCCGTGCTCTCCTCCATTGTCGCCATCACAATCTCGTCCTCCTTTGCCTTCTCTTCCTCCGTCTCTACTTCATTCTCCATCTCCTTCACCTCTTCCTTCGTCTCCTTCTGCACAACCTCTGACTTCGCTTCAAAGGCCTGGACGAGTGGGGAGGAGGGCTGCTTTGGCTCAGATCTGTGAAGAGACAAACACGACACCGTTCCACCTTCCTGCTACGGCAGACATCGCCATCTCCCATGGTCCGTGGGTGTAATGCGTGGCGCATTAATTCAAGCTTAATACAAACAGCAATAACGACATGGCCAGTGAGTGTGCTTAGCATTGGCGCTGTCATTCTCATGGGGCAAGGCTATCCTTGAGATTGATTCAGCTGTGTCTCACACAGACTGTTGTAGTTTCACAGTAGTGAGTGGCCTTGCTGTGTCAATTTAGCTGAATCATTTGTAGTGACATTTATCTTTCTATGTGTATTCTAATTGATCCCTTGGACATAATGGCCTACGCATTTAAACTGACATCGGTGGAGATCATGAACGTCCACTGTGATGGAATGGGTGTGTATCTTTGTGGTTAATGCAGCGGCAGTAATAGCCAGGGCAGGAAGCAAGATCTGAACTGTAAGTGGTGAGCGATGAGTGCGCGATCCTTTGGCTGCTTCAACCCATCCACGATTTCGATAAAAGATCCGACAGTGATTTGAGGTCGACAGAGCCGCCTCCCTTGACGTCGAAGGCATCTCAGAGTGCATTGAGCGCAATGAGCCACTCACATCTCTCATCTCAACGCATTTGAAATTGGACACCCCTCCCAGTGGTCGCTGTGTCTGTGCATTACAAGGCAACTTGTCAACTGGCCTGGAAACAGGCATGAGATTGCGAAATTATCACTGTGGATGGAGGGTTAAATGGTGAAATATGGCCGCATCGTTATCTGGTCTCACCCAGAAACCAATTATGGAAAGTAAATCTGTCCACAGTATAGCGCAATGTACACGTGGGGTTTGCAGTGTCTGTATATTTTGTGAGTGCGGCAGGGCTGGAGCACCTGTGCCTCACAGCAAAAGGGACCTGGGTTTGATTTCCACGTTGGGCCACGTTATCTGTGTGGAATGTGGTGCCCCCTGTTCTAGGAAGATTCAGCAGCTTTCTCCCTGTAACTGAACCCACACAATCAATGCAAATCGCTCCATTTGGATCACAAACAGCAGAAACTTTGTTACCAACTGCGAGCAAACTTGACAGGACCCTCCTGAAAAAAGTATTGAGACTTAGTGAGGCTCATCCTGCCTAAACAAGCATGATAATAAATGAAAATAAACACACAGGACACATGCAAGAGTGGTTTACCGTGAATCAGCGGCTCCAGCGTTTACTTTTTCTTCTTGGAAGCCCTCTTCTCCAAAGCTCGGAGCAATCGGGCCCTGCACAGGAGTGGCGGTGGTGGTGGCGGCGGAGGTGGTATTGGTGGTGGTGCTGCTGGTGGTAGCGGTCTGGAGGCAGTGTTGCTCGATCTTGGCGAGGCGCTGCTCCTCGAGGCGCTTCTGCATGAGACGTTTCTCCTCGACAAGCTTCACCTTGCCAAGGCGCCTCTCAAGATGCTTCTTCTTGAAACGCTTCAGCTCTATGAGACGCTTCACCTCAGAGGCGATTGTCTTCCTTGACCCGCCTCTCCTCTATGAGGTGCTTCTCTTCCTCCACCCGCCTCTCCTCTGAGGCGCTTCTCCATGAGGCGCTTGTCTTCTTTGACCCGCTTAGCTTCTATGAGGCGCTTCTCCTCATCGACATACTTCACAATGGCGAGGCGCTTCACCTCAGCAAGGTACTTTACCCTGGCAAGACGCTTCTCTTCCAGATGCTTCTCCTTGAGATGCTTCACGTCGCGAAGGCGCTTTTCCTCCATGAAGCGCGTTTCCTCAAGGAGGCGCTTTTCCATGACGCGTTTCATGTCATTGAGGATCTTGTTTCTAAGGCACTTCTGCTCCGTGAGGTGCTTCAGCTTGGCGAGGCGCTTCACCTCAATGGGGCGCTTCTCTTCCATGATGCGCTCCTCCACAAAGCGCTTCTCCTTGAGATGCTCCTCCTGGAGACGCTTCACTTCTGCGAGGTACTTCACTCTGGAGAGACGCTTCTCCTCACGGAGCCGCTTCTCCTCCATGAATCGCTTCTCCATGGAGCGCTTCTCCTCAATGACGCACTTCTCCATGAGGCAGTTCTTGAGGAGATTGTCTGGAAGGCATTTCTCCTCTGGGATGTGCGTCACCCTGGCAAGGCGCTTCATCTCAATGAGGCGGTCCTCTTCCATGGTGCGTTTCTCCTTCGCAAGGTGCCTGTTCTCCTGGAGACGCTTCACCCCGCTGAAGTTCTTCACCTCCCCAATGCTCCTCTGTTCACGAAGAAAAGCACAGGACCATTCAGACATGCACACGCAGGACAAAATTCATACTCCCAGGCACACAAACATGGACGGGCACGTACACGAACAAAAATGCATACTCGCACATCTATGTACGAATGCAAACATGAACATTTACTCATGCAAACATGCTAGAACACGTGAATATACACCACCTATTGTTATAAAAAATACATGTTACATCATATATTCTCACAAGTTCCATAAACGTACTTAAGGCTGTGATAGTCTGCGACGAGTTCATGGCCATTGTTGGCAACAATCATTACGGGCAAAAAAATGTCCACAATGTTCGATTGTAAAGATCTGGAAGCCCATAATCTAGACAAATTTTACTGCAGCATCGATAGTAGGCAACTGGAATGGCAACTTCCAATCAGCTCACAGACAGAATTCATGAGATTGCATAATATCATTCTGTCTTCATTGGCAAAATAAATGGCAACTTGAAGTGCCTGCACGAGTGGGATATGGCAGCACGTGATGGTGGAGAGATGGAGTGATGGTGTCGGGAGATGGTGTTGTGATATGGAGGTGAAATTGTGGAATGTTCTGGAGAGATGGTGTCTTGTGATGGTGTTGACGCATTATGAGGCTCTATGATGAAGGTGACGTGGAGAGATGGTTTGGTGATGTTTTGGTGCAATGGTGTGGTGAAATGGTGTGCTAGTGTGGAGTGAATATGGTGTGTTTGACCCCCATATATCCCATAGCCACCTTTGGGGAGCGATGCTCGTAGCTTTGGCCTGGGAAAGGGTCCACTTCATCCATAATGTCCCCCCACGTGGTCGACTGGAGCCACGACTCCCAGTCTATGGAGAACAGAAAATGCATTCAAAGGACCAGTAATGAATTAGAGAACGAAGCACATGAAGAATCACAGAACTAATTCTGACGTCCGTCATTACCTCTTACCACACAATAGGACCGGCTATTGAGAAATATTCATCACATGGCAGTAAAACTTTACGCGTCATATTTTTGTAAGCATGTTGAGATCATCAATTTCATAAACTTGAGACCCCCATACTCTTAGGTTTTTTTCGGTAAAGTCACGCTTGCTGTATTAAGTAAATGACTTTTACTTGATACAGCAAGCGTGCTGTGACGGTTCCACCTGAAGACGGAAGCTTGTGTTGCCTCCGAAACGTGATTTTTATTTTACTTTTATTAATTTAAATTTTATTTTTTTACCTACGTGACTTTACCGAAAAAACCTAAGAGTATGAATCCTTGCAGTCACGAAAGCTTCAAATCTAGAATTGAGACCCCCATTTAAACAAATATGGCTGAAACTCAGATCTGGAACGAGACAAATTATTTTACTTTAAGGAATTTAATAGTTAAAAATTATTCTCAATTAAACAAGTAAAGGTCGATTTATCATTCTTCATTGACATCCTTATCGATTGAAG